TTTCTCCAGTCCTGTCTGCTCCTCTCCACTCCTAATTGCTCTCCAGAGATTTCAACTCTTCAAAGGATCCCTCTACTCATGCAATCCCACCTACTGGGAACAATTTGAAGCCTTGGAGACTAAATCAAGTTTTTCAGATATTCTGTGTTAATATTAATGGAGTCTGGTGATCAAATACACAGCCTCTGGGCATTTGGTCCATTCCTTTTAAAATGAGAGATGGTATTTTTGGGAAGACAACTTTCTAGCTTTTTTTTCTTTTCCAGTTTGCATTTTTCTTTGACCGGGAATAAAATCTGCATAGCTGGAAATTGTGATGAGTAGGATCGAATGCCAAGAAGGGCCAAGCTACAGCTCTCTACCAACAAGGCCACCACAGGGAGAAGGTGTCACCCTTGAAGATATATGAACAGTCAGGATAAGGATGAGTCACTATCAATCTTTTTCCACATGCATGCTGTTCTGAATCCCAATCCCTATGCTTTAGAAAGGAGCAAATCAGCTTTAATTCTTAACTGAATAAAGCAGCTTCTTGTATGTGGATCTATTATTTTTGAGAGGCAATGTGACTACTGAAAGTCAGTGTTGTGCCAATTACTTTTGACCTTGGAAAAGTTGCTTACCCTCAGGCCTGAGGTTTAGTAGGGGTATCCAAGCTAAGTCTGGTGTCAACATTACGAGCCCCCTAGAACAGGCTGCCAAAGTGGGGGCAAACAAGTCCAAGGCAGAAACTCTATGCAGATTTTCCCATACCAACCAGTCTTGGCATCTCGCCTGTGAGTGGGCACTGCCACCAAGCTTATGGATACCTAGTTTAAAAAAAAATCGCCTCACAAAATCAAAACCAAAAAAAATTGTTACATTCTCAGAGCTTCAGTTTTTTCATCTGCAAAATGGGAGTAAAAATACTTATAATATCTATTTCTCACAAGGTTGTTATGAAGCTCAGATAAGATGATGCACAAACCATTTTATAACCACAAAATCCCATATGAATGCCAAATCTTATCTTTGATAGGAGGCTTACTAGGTAGCATAGTAGATAGAGTATTGCAAGTCTGAAAAGACCTGAATGTGCCAGTCATTTACTAGCAATGTGGCCCTGAGTGAAATGCTCTTAGCCTTAGTTTTCCCATCTGTAAAATGGGGATCATCACATCATCATCATCATCACAAAGTCTTTGTGAGGATCAAATGAAATTATGTATATAAAGTACTCTGCAAACCTTAAAGGGCTACATAAGTGCTAACTATTATAATAATCACAATGAGGTCTTCATGTTAGTCTGATACATGAACAAGCAATTTGCCAAATTAATATGGATTGCACAATTCCCCTTCCCCTAACCTATAGCCCTTCGCTCTTAAGATTATACAACTTGTAAAATGAAATATATATATATGTATATATACATGGTATATATATATATATATCTCTTTTAATCAGTCCACCTTATTCCTGGATCAGAGTATAAGGCTATTTGCAAGACTATCTTATGCAAAACTTTCTATTTGCTAAGTACCTTAAGACATTTGGTTTAATCATTTCATGCCCTCCTTAAAAGCCTTTAGAGGTTTCCTGCTGCCTCTAGAATAAAACATAAGCTCCTCCGCTTGGCATAGTTAAGCTCTCCATTGGTCCTGCCAATCTCTCCAGTCTTATCTTACTCTTTTCCTACACTCTACTGGTCCAGATTAGCTGTCTACTAGCTGTACCCCAAACTCAACATTCCTTTTCCCACTTCATATGAGCTGTTTTCCATGACTGAAATGAACTGATTTTCCTCATCTCAGTCCCTAAACCTTTATTTCTTCCAAGTCTCACCTCAGTACCATGTTCTCTCTGAAGCCCTCACTGACTAGTACTCCATCTCTCTTTGAATTATCTGGTGTTTACCCAGCTGTGTGGATTTGTATCCCTCCACCCCATGCCCCAGAAGGTAAGCTCCATAAGGGATGGAACTATTTCTTTCTGGCTTTGTTATCTCGCACTTGTACCACAGTGCCTTGCATTCAGCAGGCCCTTAGTACATATTTGCTCAATTGAATTCATCCTTATAGCACTTCTAAGGAGCAGGAAGTATATGTCGATAGCCCATTTTACAAGAATGGAGATGAAAGGGTTCTGATAATGCAAGTGATTGTTCATAAGTCCTCATTACAAGAGAGAAGCAAAAATGAGAATCAGAGTCTGATTCTGGCCAATTAGCTAAGTGACCCTGGGCAGTTTACTTAACTTTGGGCTTCTATTTCCTCATCTGTAAAATAAGGGGCTTGGACTAGATGGTCTCTAAGGGCCCTTTCAGGGTTCTGTGACTCTATGATCTAGTCAGTTGTCGTTCAATCATTTTTCAGTTATGTCTGACTCTTCACGACCCCATTTGGGGTTTTCATGGCAAGATGCTGGAGTGGTTTGCCATTTCCTTTTCCCATTTAACAGATGAGGAAACTGAGGCAAACAGGGTTAAGTGACTTACCCAAGGTCACACAGCTAGTAAGTGTCTGAGGCCAGATTTGAACTCAAGAAGCTGAGTCTTCCTGACTCCAGGCCCAGTACACTATCCACTGCTATTCGGAGTAGTAGATTCAAGTGGGATCTGGACACACCAGGGGTCCAATCTAGTTCATTTGAACACGATCACCAGCCCCACCCTCACCTCCATCATAATTACCAGCACCAAACATTATTGAATGCCTAGAGTTTGTGGGGTGATGTGGCTATGAAGAGGTCTCTCATTTTAAAGAAGTTTATGACTTAATTGGGTTTTTCCCCAATAAGAATGTAAGCTCCAGGAGGCCAGGCCTGTTTTTCACTTTTGTCTTTGTTCATGAAAGGTGCTTACTAAATGCTGATTCTTTTCATGGCTTCCACTGGCCCCCTCAAAAAACCAAACCAACAAACAAACAAACAAAAAAACCAACCATGTTGGCAAAGCTCAGCCTGAAGGAGATAGAAGTCTATTCTGGTTCTTGGGGGAACCTGGGATTTCCAGGAGTCAAAGTGCAGTACCCTTATCATGTGCTCCCACTGGGGTACCTGATGGGCCCTGGTAGCTCCATACAACAATGGGCTGTGTAGAACTACATTAGTTAGAAACAAAAAAGACTGCTTAAATGCATGTCCTTGTGCAGAACAGTTCTAAACTTTTGCTGTTGAACACATTCACTCATTTCCCTGGGGCACAGTATTTAGCAGTATAACAGGTTTCACTTTTAGGAAGTTAATGATATCCTGATATTCAGCTTAAATGCCCCTTACCTTGATTTTTCTTTAAACTCTTAAGATTTTTAGTTATCTCTATATTCACATTATGATTTATTCTTTGATGCTCTCAAACTATAAAGGCTCAGACACATTACAAATTACATTCCCTATGTACCTTCTGGCCCACCCTTGGATGAGGGAAAGCTCTGTCTCCAGCAAATGGAAAGAGGGGTGATAAGAGAGAGGCCAAATGGACCTGCTTCCTCATTCTCTACTCTTGCACGACAGGAGCTAAATCAGTTACAATACAGTCCCAATAAGCAATTCCATTTTCCCCATTGGAGGAATCTCCTCACTTCCCATCAGCTGCTTTACTTGGTTTTGAGGATTTGCAGGTAGCCAAGTCTCCTTAATTAGAAACAATGCCCAGAGGATTTAACTCTTTCATTACAGGAACCTAGAACCCATGTCTAGGACTTCCACTGCTTTGACTGGTGGTCGCCTCAGTGACCCACTGCATTTAATCCTGGGTCCAGGGTCTTAATTCCCAGGGCCATTTCCACTGAGCGTATTCAGTCAGTCAGTCAGTCAGTCAGTCAGTCAGTCAGTCAGTCAGTCAGTCAGTCACTTACCACGCGTCAGATAATGCATTAAATGCTGGGGAAAGCCAAAACACTGTCCCTATCCTCAAGGAGATCACAGTCTAAAAATGGATGCTCCATCTCTCCTCCTAAATACACTACATCTATAGCATTTCCTTTAATTTACCAGAATAAAGGAAGGAATAAGAATAAGTGCCTACTATGGGCCAGGTACTATGCTAAGAGTTTTATATTTTCTTACTTGATCCTCACAATAACCCTGGGAGGTAGATGCTATTATCATCCCCATTTTAGAGTTGAGGAAACTGATGCAGAAAGCACTTAAGTGACTTGCCTAAGGCCATACAGCTAGTAAGTGCCTGACAGTGGATTTGAATTCGTGTCTTCCAGACTTCAGGCCTAAACTTCTATCCACCAACAATTTAAAACAATAAATTCTAGTATTTGTTCCTCATAGCACAATGAAGTCATACTTGGAAACGACAGAGAAATTACAATTTCCATATTTCTTAAAATTAAATTAAAAAAAGGCTTAGGGATTGAAATGCCCTGAATTTGAAAACTGTAAATTCTAAAGTGTTTTCCAGTTATTTATTTCCATATTCAACTGTGTCTTTGTTTTATCTTGGAATATGAAAATAAAACGTTTTTGCAATCTGGGAAAATAAATCGTTGGGATCAGTCCAACCACTTTACATGATAGTAACTTGTAGGAGACAAGTGAGTATGAGGTGGAGCATCCTGACCTCCAGGCAGTCATGAATGTCATTCACTCCCCTCCGCCCTGAGGCAGTGAGCAAATGAAAGCTGGACGTGCTTCCTCTCAGAAAGGCGGGCATCCCCTCATCTTAGATCATAAGACTAAAAAGAGGTGTGGTCTTGGAGGTCCTTTCATCCAACCTCACATTTCCTCTTTATAGAGGAGTAGATTGAGACCCAGGCAGATGAAGGGATTCCTCCAGCATCATATTCTATAGCTACAAGGACACATGGGATGGTTCAGACCATGGGCCAGGGTTGCAATGACATTCTCAAAGGATTGCTCCCTGGAAGGGATTCTGGTTGTTCAGCTGTGAAAGAAGTGAGTTACTAAATCACTGCATGGCCCGCTCCCTGCCTGACCAAAGGCTGGCTTCCTAAAGGCTTGAATGCCCTGCCAGCATTCCCTGGGGGAGGTGGAGGGGGGAGCCTACCTGGGTCCCCGGAATTATCACTGTTCTTTTCACTCTCTCCATCCTCTTGTCCGTCTGCATTCTGCTGTGTGTGCTGCAGGCTCAGTTTGTGGCACACCTCAAAGGCTTGGCCCACCGTCCGGACAATCCGCATAGCTTGACTCTAGCAGACAGAAGGGAAGAGCAAGTGAAGGAGGGGAGACACCATAGCTCAGCCACAATGGCGGGGAAAGGCAGAGTGGGAAAGGGCTGAAGTGAGAGAAACTAACAATAACAACAACAACAACAAAACACACACTAACAAAGACCCAACTGTCCAAAGGCCCACTTGTCTCACATCATGGAAATACCCAAGATATGTAAACATGTATGTATTCATAAAAGAGAGAATGAAAAAGAAAGAGAGAAAGCAAGAAAAAAGGAAGAGGAAGGAAGGAAGGAGGAAGGAAGGAAGGAAGGAAGGAAGGAAGGAAGGAAGGAAGGAAGGAAGGAAGGAAGGAAGGAGAAAGGAAGGAAGGAAGGAAGGAGAAAGGAAGGAAGGAAGGAAGGAGAAAGGAAGGAAGGAAGGAAGGAAAGGAGGAAGGAAGGAAGGAGAAAGGAAGGAGAGAGGAAGGAAGGAAGGAGAGAAGGAAGGAAGGAAGGAAGGAAGGAAGGAAGGAAGGAAGGAAGGAAGGAAGGAAGGAAGGAAGGAAGGAAGGAAGATGACACAGCATAGTAGAGCTTCCAATTACCCTTCTATGGTCCAGACATCAGAAAGCCAACATGACAGAGCCAAGAAGCTCAACCATCCAATGAAAATGAAAGACCCTGCACACAAATTGCTGCTGATCCACCTGCTGATCACCTGGGTATCTATTTTGCACTGGAATGATAAGAGCTTACCTACTGTTTAAAATACACTTTTCATATTGTTATTTTTAAGTCGTTTCTATGGTGTCTGACTCTTAGTGACCCCATTTGGGGATTTCTTGGCAAAGATGCTGGAATGGTTTGCCATTTCCTTCTCCAGCTCATTTTACAGATGAGGAAACTGAGGCAAACAGATTTGAGAGACTTATCCAGGGTCACATGGCTAGTAAGTGTCTGAGGCCACATTTGAACTCAGACCTTCCTGACTCCAGGCCCAGCCACCTAGCAGCCTTAAATGCTAAATAACCACAGATGTTCTCCACTTCTCAGTTGGAAACTTAGCACCCTAATTATTAGTTTTGGTACCTGACTCTCACCTCCACCTGATGCCTCTGAACAGGTGGTGCACAGGGCTCTTCCATGTACTCACTTTTCTTGCAGATGGTATGAAGGTGGAGTGGAAGAGGCCAGGAAACATCCTGTTTCCTCAGAATCACAGGATCAGATCACAGGACTTAGAACCAGAAAGACATGAGACATTAAAGATCATATAGTCCAAACCCTGCTATTTTAGAGATGGGGGAACTGAGTCTGAGGGAAGTCAAATGACCTACCCAGGGTCACATTCAGACCCAGCACCTCCACTTTCCACTACCCCATCCTGACTTTTTACATTTCCTTTTAGCACTAATTACCATCCGCCACTCCCTCCACCCCTGCACCCCACACACTTAATTTTTAAATAAATTTCAAATTCAAAAGCAGGTCACTGAAACTCCCTACCCTCTCAAGGCAAAACCATGTTTTTCAAAACATTTATATTTTTTCTTCCTTCAAAGGGCTTTTCTGAAAGAAAAAAAGGGGGCTTTTCTGATTGCCCCAGTTTTTAATCTCACCCACCCAAAAATCATTCTTCATTTGTGTTAGCCCAGTAAAATGTCAGCCTCTTGTGGGCAGGGACTGTCTGTTTTGTCTTTGTGTTTGACACAGAGACACTTAAAAAAGCTTCCTGATTAATTTCTAAATCTGTAATCTTTTGGAGGTCAGTCTCATGGAGAGAAGCTCCCATGGTGCCCTTTGGTGCTGACAGAAGAAGAATGCTAAGCTACTGTACATGACATTTTTTATGTAGTGGCAACATGCTTGTCATTAGTGTCATCATTTTTTTCAGTATTAGTTCAGATTCCCCAAGTACGAACATTCACTACAAAGTGGGTTCATCTGATCCTATGCTCTGGCTTCTTAATGCAAAGGTATTTATACTATGGATTCCTTACACACAACTGAATTTTGATCTGCATTAAAGGAATGCAGGAGAATGTTTTATACATGGCTTCCTGCGTGTGAATGCTGAATGGATGTCTTTAGCTTCCTGCATAACAGGATGGCTGCCTGCCTCCTACCCCAGACTGTTCTTGGCGATCTCTTTCCTCATCCAAACACGAATATGGTCCCCCCAAAATGAACACAGGTGTCTGTTGCTCTCTCTCCCTGGGTTGCCCAATGTGTGCATGAAGACTTGCTCCTGGTGGCTGGCTCTGGCTTCACCTTTGGGCTTGAATGTTTAAGCACAAACATTCAGTTCATGAGCTTGGGTCTGTTGCTTAGTACTTAACAGGCCAGGTCGTCAGGAAGACTTGCCTTTACAAAGTTTCTATTAATACCTGTTTTAAGTCCTCTGGGTCATAGTGGAGCAAGGGCTCATTTTTTCATATCCTCAGAGATCTTTAAAAGCTAAAACTTGAAAGCTTTGAAAAGAGCCAGGAGCGAATGGGGATGAGTAAGTGGGGTGACAAAGAGAGGAGAGTGAGGTGATGCCGGAAGGCAGGCAGCCTCTCCACCCCAGGTGGTCCTTACCTTTTCTTTTTCTCCCTCCTTCTGTATCTTTGTGTGTCTCTACCTCTGTCTTTCTCCTTCTCCCTTCCTTTCTCTCATATCTCTGTCTCTCTCCCTCTCCCTCCCCCCTTCTGTCCATCCCTCTCTGTCTCTCCCTTTGTGTGTGAGTTTCTCTCTCTCTCTCTCTCTCTCTTCTCTCTCTCTCTCTCTCTTCTCTCTCTCTCTCTCTCTCTCTCTCCTCTCTTCTCTCTCTTCTCTCTCTCTCTCTCTCTCTCCTCTCTCTCTCTCTCTCTCTCTCATATTTTGTTTTGCAGGGCTTGGCAACCTGAATCAAATTCCCCATCTAGAAGCCATTTTCTACAAGAAACAGCAAGATATTTGTGGTCTTGAGGCCATCAGGGTCAGGCAGAGAGTGGGGACTTTGATATTTTCAGAGCTAGGAGCTGAGTGCTGAGTGCCACTCAGTTGTGGGTGGAAAGATCCGAAGCTCTTGGGAGCACCAATTTGGTGAAAATGGGGGTGTTAGAAAGGAAGATGGGTTAGAATTTTTAGCCACTCAGCTCATGTCACACAAAGCTGCTTCATCAAACCATTTATTTACCTGTTCGTATAGAAGCAGACCCCTTAGGCCTTCCATGTGTAGCACTGAAGGCACAGATGCAGCTATTCGCCATTTTTCATGGGAGGCCAAATTGTGCATATCTATTTCGTGACTCATGGGGGTTGTATCCCTGGGATTCTCTACTTTTTTTCTTTCAGTAAGCTCCAGGCCTTGGCCTTCAAGCTTGAGCAATGAATGAATCATCGGAGACCACAGCAGAGTAGGGAGCACAGAAAAAGGGGTGGAATGTTTACTGGCTCCAGGTAATGCCTGTCCGTCTAGCTCTACCAGTTACCTGGGAGCCAGGGTCATTATAGAAGGTAGAAGGGACATGGAGAAGAAGGCTTATCACTCAATAACAATAAAGATAGCATTTGGATAATAGCACTTTAAGGTTTACAAACTCTATACACATACTATCTCATCCTCAGAACAATCTCAGGGAGGTAGGTACTATAATAATCCCCATGTTATAGGCAAAGAAACTGAGACTGAAAAATGTTAAGTGACTTGCCCCAGGTCACACAGCTAGTAAGTGTTGAGGCCAAATTTGAACTCAGGTTTTTCTGACTCCAAGTGCATCATTTATCCACTGTGCTATCTACCTGTCTTAGGTCTGGATTCTAATCCTGCCTCATACACTTATTAGTTGTATGATGCTAGGCAAGTCACTTAGTCTTGATGACCTTAATTTTCTCATCTATAAAATGAGGAAAATGGAATTTATCTCACTGGGCTGTTGTTAGGATTGAATGACATATATGTACATGGATAGTTGGATCGATAACTACACACACATACGCAAAGTACTTTGAAAACCTGGAAGGGCTATACAAATATCAGCTGCCGCAGTGGACAGAGGTCACTGGACTTGGAGTCAGGGAGGTCTGAGTTCAAATTTGGCCTCAGAAACTTCCTAGCAGTATGACCCTGGGCAAGTACCTTAACTTCTGTCTACCTGATCTGAAAAAATGAGGATAACAGTAGCACTTCACAGAGTTGTTGTGTAACATGGGATACAATTTGTAATGTGCTTTATGAACTTTAAAGCATTGTATAAATGCTAGAATTATCATCATCATCATCATCATCCTTGTCTAAACTTTTTTGCTTAAGGGACCTGAAGGGAAGCTTACCAAAGCATCTAAACAGACTCAGAAAGCAGGCACGGAAAACCCAGACTGAAAGACCAAGATACAATGTGCTTCAGCACCACAGATCAGAGGGTTTTTTTTTAAGGCTATTGGGGTTAAGTGACTTGCCTAGAGTCACACAGCTAGTAAGTGTCAAGTGTTTAGTCTGAGGCCGGATTTGAACTCAGGTCCTCCTGACTTAAGGGCCGGTGCTCTATCTGCTGTGCCACCTGGCTGCCCCAGATCTGAGGTTTTTAGAAAGAACTGGGCCCAGATGTGGGTTTAAAGGCAGTCTAGTATAGAGGCTGGACATTACAAAAGACAGAATGAGATGTGACAGTGCCTCCCACATATCGCATGGTGGGCATGTGATGAATGTTCAAGTTTTTTAGCACTATAGACAGTAAGTTTGCTGCAGGAAAATGAAACAGGCCCGAGAGGCTGCATCAACTCAACTGATAAATAGTCTAGGGGGATATGAATAGTCAGTTTTCAGAGGGAAAAAGCCAAGCTATCCACAGCCATATAAAAGTGTGTCAAATCACTGATAACTAGAGAAAAGAAAATTAAAATAACTCTGAGGTACTGCCTCACACCCAACAGGGCAAAGTTGACAAAAGTGGAAAATGCCAAATGCTAGCTTGGGCAGCTTGGTGGCACAGTAGATAGAGTGTCAGGCCTAGAGACAGGAAGACTCATCTTCATGACTTCAAATCCAGTCTCAGACACGTGCTAGCTATGTGA